CATGATTGATGTGACATACGGACATATTTGATAATGTCGTGTTTGATATCTTTCACAAGACAATTCTCCACTTTCTGTTGTGTTCATTAATGATGATGAACAATCATTTTTATCACTTTAGATGCTATATTGAGGCAAAATTTGTAATAAAGCTGGAAATCCAAATATTGTACCACCAAATAAATTCACTTCAATCAAAAGCCATACAACATCAGACTATTTTCGAATTAAATGAGGAGTTTTCTTTTTTATAGATGTTGTTGTATCAATCATTTTCATTTATAACTCAAAAAGAGAAAAAAAATGAAATTCGATGTATTAAATATATTCTACGAGAAAAAGATAAAATACTTCCGAATTTGGATTGAAATTCGTCGAAAGATACAGGGTGTCCCATAAGTAACAAGACAAGGAAAAAAAGTTTGAATATCTCCATTAGGGCTCGACCAAATGGGCTCAATTTTTTATCAAGGATAGAGGCATCTGCATACTCCAAATCCATACGAATAAGGTGAATGAGAACCTTTGTTAAGTATCGCTAGTGACCTCAACAATAAAATTTTTGCTTTGTCAATGGTAAGAAAAAACCAATATACAGGATAGTGCAAAAGTCACTTTATCGAAAAGAAAATTAAATATTTCCATTACAGCTCGAGCAACCGAGCTGATTTTTTTACCAAAAATAGAGGCATGCTTATACTTCAAATCCATACAGACAAGCTTAGTGAGGACCTTTGTTAAGTATATTTTTTTATTTTTCTGTCTGTGAAAAAGTAAAAATTTTATTGTTGAGGTCAATAGTGATACTTAACAAAGGTTCTCATTCACCTTGTTCGTATGGATTTGGAGTGTGCAGATGCCTCTATCCTTGATAAAAAATTGAGCCCATTTGGTCGAGCCCTAATGGAGATATTCAAACTTTTTTTCCTTGTCTTGTTACTTATGGGACACCCTGTATATTCATATTTCTTGAATTTTAGAATCTTATATCTTTCGTATCGA